TTCAAATTAGTTTTTACAGTGCCTAACCGAAGTATGCACATGCTGCGATACTTTTATACACCAGAATAAAAGAAACACTGAAACTTGTTCGCAAATTCTCCATTCAAAGCTAATGCGCAAATGTTGACAGCAAATTTTTGCCAGCTAATGGATTTGCAGCTTTGTGTGTGTGTGTGTGTGTGTCGGTGTATGTGTGTGCGTCACTCACTGTGCTCTGCGATCCGCGCCTCTGGCTTGTTGACCAAAGCACACGCTTACACAGTTTTGTTTGCTGCATGTGCAGCGCGTAGCATGTTTGCCCTGAAAAGTAGGCAACACTTTTTGGCAGCTGCCCATAGTTGGCCAGTGTGTGTGTGTGTGTGTGTGAGTGTGTGCTAGAGCCTGCCATGCCACTTGGTGCAGATGCACACGCTCATGTTTTCAGTTTATTAGAAGACTGCGCTCAAAAGTAGGCAACATTTTTGTGCTCCGCACTTTGCCCATAAAAGTAGGCAACACTTTTGTGCGCTGCTTATCAAATATCTGAGCAAAGCTGCGGCGGCTGCTTAACAAATTGCAAATCAAATTAAAGGCATGGCCGACCCCACACACGCACGCACACACTCACCCACACACACACACACACACACTCATACACATACACACTCACACTCACAGGCAGCAAACAAACAAAGCGAACTCTCGTCTCAGCTAGTGTGTTTGCGCTTGTTAATTAACTGACAATGATGTGCGTGTGTGTGTGTTAGTGCGTGTCTGTTTGTATATTTTTAAATGTCTGCTAACTCACACACACACACACACATACAAACGCACAGGCAACGTCGCAGCTGGCCCGCCCGCAAGTGTTTGCTAATTTTATTAAACCCTCTTGCGCTTAATTAATAGAAAATGATTGCGCAAACAGACGTCGCACACACACACACACACACACAAGCAGGCAGCTCCACAGAGTGTGGGCGGAAGAGCAGCTGCAAAAATATTAGCCACTATTAAAAGCTAAAGCGCGCAGTCGGGCTGTTTTCATCACCTGCTGTTGCTGTTGCTGTTGCTGTTGCTGCTGCTGTTGTTGCCTTCATCTTAGCCCCGCAGCTTTAAAACTATTCAACCATAAAACGACCCACACACACAAACACACACACATAGATTTCGGCGAAGCGTAAATTCATTTACCGCAGCACAGCGAAGCCGACAGCCAAACACACACAACACAAAAAGCTTTTTACACAAATGAGTTTATGGATAGTCCCACCAAACTCCCACACCCACACACACATACATACCTAGCCATGCCATGCATGCGAGGGTAGCCACACAAATTAATACATTATTTTTAAAAGATAAATTTCAAGCAGATCTACTCACTCGCTGGCTCGCCCCCTCCCCGCTCCCTGACGCCCTGGCAAACAATTAAATCAGTGAAATCCACACGCAGCTTTTGGGCCAAGTCCCTTACCAGATCCTATTGCCAAACTCCCATTGCCATGTGATGCCGCCTGCCGTCGTCTGCCCACAAAATGTTCACAACTTTTCAACTTAAATTCATTTTGTGCGCCAAAGTAAAGCGCCTGCCCATAAGGCCAAGCAGGTAGGGGATATGACTGGGGTTGCTTTCCAGCCAGACCGAGCCACTGAACCACCGAGCCACCGAGCCACCCAGCCAGCCAGCCAAGTGGCATCACACATTTTTCTCGTGGTTTGTTGTAAATTTGTTTTCGTTCACTTGCAACGTTGTGACACCGCAGCAACAGCAGCGAGGGGTGCACGAGGGGTGCGGTGGGGGGTGGGGAGTGGAGTGGGCCACAAGGCAGCCGCAACATGGCTGTTGTTGTTGTTGTTGTTGCTGTTGTAAATCAGAGCCTGTGACTCTCTGAACCAGCAGCTGCTGCTTTAGCTACTGCGGCTAAAAGCGTAGATAATAAATTAAACGCAGCACGCTTCAAGTCAAAATAGCTGCCACGCCCATGCCCGAAAGTTGAGCAGGTGGAATAGGCAGTCGGAAGCTGTTGGGCAATTCAATAAGATTCGATTGTTATATAACGCAATGACTGAGTTTAGTCTGAGCAAAGAGAGGGACAGCGAGAGAGAGAGAGAGAGAGAGAGAGTGTCATCAACATGGCGATAGTTTGAGCCGATAGTTTGAAGCAATAGTTTTTAGGATTTTTAAAATTAAAATAAATTTAATTACTGTTTAAATTAATTTTTTTTATTTATATATTAATTTATAAATATATTTCATTATTATTTAGATTAATTTTATATTTTTATTAATTTTTTAAATTCATTAAGATTCAATTAATATTTCAATTAATTTTTTATTAATTGATGCATTTTTTAAGATGATGCCCTTAGATGCCACTAAATGCCCATATATATATCGCACATAAACCTTCACATGCTCAACCGATATATATCGCATATTAACATATCTCTATCATTCCAGACACTCCACTCAATTTTCGAATAGATATTCAAATCTTTGGCATTAAAATTAAATGTCTTTCGGTGTGGCATAAAATAAAATGTGCCACGCCCATTTGCCAGCTGGCTGGCTGGCTCATTTGAAGCAGACGAGAAATATTTCGGAGCGCATAAATTAAATGCGTGTGCGGCTGGAAAATTTATCAAGCGAGTTGGCAGCAGCGAAAAAAGTAAGAATATAAATATAAATATATATACATATATATATAAATATATACACAATATATACTTATATATATATTTAAGAAGGAAGATAGAAATAAATAAAAAGACGCGCAAAGAAAGGAAACAAAAAGTTTTGCAACACTAGATAAAACGCCAAGGCACAAAGGCGTCGCGTGCAAACGCGGGCTATGCGGGGGTGGGTGGGCGAACGTAGATGGAGCTGGGTCTGGTCTTGAGGTAGGGTAGCGACACGTCAACCCTTTTGTTTCAAATTAAAATTTACATATTTTAATGTGCAAAGTTTTGTGGAGCGTTGCCCAGCAGCAGCAGCAGCAGCAGCAACAACAGCAACAACAACAATTTGGCCAGACTTAGGAGCCACGCAGAAGCACAGTGAAAGCTTGGGGGAGGGGCAGAGGCAGTGGGTTGGGGCGGGGTTCCGAGCAAAAAGTTGCTCCGTTTGCCAAAAGGTTGGCAGTAAAAAATCAAATTGACCTGTAAATATAATTTAAAAGGTGGCAGCAAAAACAGCAGCAACAACAACAGCAACAACAGCAACAACAACAACAATGACAACACGAAACGTGTTTAATTATCAAGTTGTTAGCAACAACAACAAAAACGCGTTTGCAGCTGCCGCATTCAATTTGGTTGAGGCAACATTTTGTGCTACGTCGCCATTTTGTTTGCTGTGCACGCGTGGGTGTGTGTGTGTGTGTGTGTGCGTGTGAAGGTGTGCGTATTGCATGCCTGGAAGCGTTGGCATTTCAAAATTTTGTTAATTTGCCATTGTCAGCTAATGAGCGAGAGCTTTAAGTGCCAGCCAAAGCGAAAGCGACAAGTGAGAGTGAGAGTGAGCGTGAGCGTGGGAGAGAGATGGAGTGAGAGCGAGAGCGAATGAGATAGTGAGCGTAGTGGCAGTGGCCTGCAGGGAAGTCCTTAATCCAATTCCTTTCTTAGCCTACGCAAGAGTACAAAGAAAAAAAATAAATGCTCTGTGTAGGCAGAAAGTAACTTGAAAGATAAACAAAGCCAAGGCACAAAATCTATTTAATATTACCGTTAGCCAGCAGCTGGGGAAAGCGACGCAAGTTAAATGCTATAATGAAATGGAATAATGCCATTAGCTCTGGCAGCAGGTAACGCGATGAGCTCTTAGATTGAGCCTAAGCCAAAAGCTGATGATGCTTCGAGCTGGCAAAATAGTTGGGAAAATGCTGAAGGAACTTGGAGAAGAGAAGAAGCTATATCTTCTGAACGACAGCTCTGATTTGAAATAAGTTTCGGGACATTAGTAAATTAATGAGAGTATGGCAAGGAAAAGTTTTCGAAAATTTCGATGGAATATGACATATGGCTTAGGCTCAAAATAAAGATAGTTTTATAGATATTCGATCTTTAGTCAAACTGAATTGACTCGGAATCTTCAGCTACATGAAAATCCTTGTCCAATTCGTATTACTGAGCTCTTAAATAGGTCACACCTCGACTGCCTCGACCTCTACATAGGCACATCTATATTATCTATATATAGCTTCCATAACTTGTTTGACAAGCATATATGTATGTATATCACGATAATTGTCCAGCTACAATATGTCTAAATATATATATTTTTGTAGTATTTCTTTCTTGCTGCACGCTTAGATTGAAATGTTTGAGCCATTCGTGAGCGAGGCGCAACTGGGACATGCATATAATTTGTGGGCGTGGTGGGCGTGTCAGTTGCTGTGGTTTCTAATTGCTTGTCAATTGTGCAGCTGGTGACCAACAGCTGCCACATGCAACTTTTCACATAATCAACAAACCAGCGGCTATTAGCGAGTGCGAAAGAGAGAGAGAGAGAGAGAGAGAGACATAGAGAGAGAGAGAGAGGGGTGTAAGTGTGTGTGTGTGTGGTATATTATTGTGTTTGCCAACGAGTCAGGCGCAAAGTTTCTTGGCTTGGCTGCGTGTGTGTGTGTGTGTGTGAGTCCGTGTTTCTCTGTATGTGTGTGTGTGTGTGCAAAGTAACACCATTTAACGCTAATGTAAAGCAAACACTTTGATGTATTTGCCATGCTGTGTCAGTGTGTATGCGTGTGTGTGTATAAAATATGTATATGATTAGGGCATGTGTGTGTGAGTGTGTGTGTGTGTGCGTCAGTCAGTCTATTTGCATTTGTATGTGTATTTTTCATCAAGAGTGTTTGGCATTATGACAAGGCCGCGTTGCCCACATTCACACACACACACACACCCTCACACACACACACATTGAGCAACATTCGTATAAACATTGGACATCATCCCCGAACATGGCGGACATGTCCTGTCTTGTCCGTAACTTTTAGCAACTACCCCGGCCTTCAGCTTACCTGCAAAGTATGCCAACATGGCGGTTAGGACGACGGATATGAATATTAAGGCGATGCTCAAGCATTTCCAGGAACATCGGTGTTGACAGCGTTTATCTATGTGAAACCTGCAAAGGAAACAAAGCAAAATGTAATGAGTATTGAGAAAGCCAGCAAGAAAGAGAGACATGGAGGGAGAGGGAGATAGAGAGAGAGAGAGAGAGAAGGGGGCCGGCAGGCAGGTAGACGTTAAACAAACTGTGCAATGCATTTGTAATTAACAACGAGCAAACAGCGAACAGACACCAAATAAAGGCAAACAAGGTAGAGGAAGAGGCAGAGGTAGGGGCAGAACCAGAGCCAGAGCCAAAGCCAGTGGTAGAGCACCCATGGAACGACAGAGGACATTGTGCTGCGTGTAACAAGTAGGCCGAGTGGCCGGCCATGCAAAATGTTTTCTTTTTTGGAGCCTCTCATTGCCTGGAACTGCTCGTCGCTCGTTATATTGCATTAATAAGATTCCCCTACTCGCTTCCCTTGCTAGCTTCATATTCGATACCCTTGCTTTCTATAACTCGTTACCTTCATGGTAAATACCTCAAGGCATTCGTTACTTCAATTCACTCGTCACAGACACTCGGCAAAGACATGAAAATACTCGCTGCTTTCAATGACTCGCTGTGATCGAGGACACTCGTTAAATTCAGTCACTCTTTGGGCTCAAGTCGAATACTCGCTTCTTCAGTAAGTGTAGGTTCTATAAACAGCTTTGCTCTCCATTACTCGTTACTTTAACACGCTACTCTCATACTTCCCTTTGCTTGACTGCTTTACTATTGCTGTAGACTGACTGAAATATTCGCTACTCTGCCTAGCAGAGTACGTCTTCAAGGTCTTCTGGTACTCACTTTCCCCCTCTTAAAGAGCCTATCCCAAGTGTTTGTTACACTGCACCTCCATAGCTGTTCGATGCTCATGATCATAATCAATCAATCACATTATTACTTTAAATATATTTCAACTCTGTTGTAGTCTACTTCCCTATATACGCGCTTAATCAAAACTCTACCCTCAATCAGTCATGTGCGATTTTCGATTCGCTGCTCTCGAACCTTGGGCAGATATGAGACAACTTTTGATGTACTGCAGCTTATTTAATAACGCTCATTTCAAAGGTATACGCAGCTTTTTATATGCACATATATTTGCTGAACAAACGCATGTCGTCATGCAAAAAGTTTGTATATTCGTTTGACAGGCTACATGGACCGCAAAAACCAACGAAACACACACACACACTGTGTACACACTGCACACACACACACACACACACACACATGCGCCAATGGGTTTGTCAACTGTCAACTTTTTTAATAAAGCTACGCAAAATGATATACAACTTGCAGTCGACACTGGCCCTCGTGCTACAACAGCTGCCTCCAGTTAATTGCATAAAACTTGTACCAAAGATTCTGTTTGCATAGACTGCAAAAGACATGAGACCATATCCCGAACTGGCGAGTTCCTGCCCAAGCTGTTCGTGTTTAATTAACAATCCTAATGAGCCCTCTTTCAGGCATTCAGGAATTGCTACAGCTGCTGGAAATTGTAAGGCTGTAGCTCAGAAAAGCTGCCAGAGAAGCTGCAGCAGCTACTCTATCTAGGCATGAACTAATATGAGACTAAACTTAGTTCTGTGATTTCCTGGAATAGGCTATTGAAATAAATATATGTGAATAGAGGAAATCTGAAAAGGATTCCTTGACAATTTTTCTATTTCTCGAAATATTTAGAAAACTTAACTTAGTTCGACTGATACAAATTTGAAGCTGGGATTGCTCTGAATAGACTATTCCAATAAATACCATAAATGATTCTTGAAGCCATACGAGGTACCGCAGTAACCCCTTTGTGAATAAGGGGAATCTGAAAAGGATTCTTTGTTATTTTTTTCTATTTCTTGAAATATTTACAGAACTAAACTCAGTTCAAGTGCTAGAAGCTGGGATTGCTTCGAATAAACTTTTCCAATAAATACCATATATTGTATGTATGTTTCTTGAAGCCATACGATGTACAGCGAGTAAGGAAAATCTGAATTGGATTATTTGATATTGTTTTTACTTCTTGAAATATTTTGAGAATCGTGTTAAGCAACTGAATCCAAGCAGATGCGGATTAAACATATTTTAAAGCCTCTGAAATTCTTACATATTTCTAGGGCAAGACTGAGTAGAGGGGCTTAACTGTTATAGACCAAGTTCAAGGGGATATTTGAAAGATTTTATGCCAAGACTTGGTCTAGTAAGTCTTATGGGTGCTGACATCTGAGAAATCTAGTCTAGTTCTGTTACGAAAGCTAGCAGATCTTTGGGCAATGACATTGATTATACCAAAGATGACTGAAAGATGTTTGGAGAACCTAGATTCCTCTTAAAAGAGCCTAAATAGACAACTGAAGAGGCAAGTTTTCCTATGAAATGAAAGAGATGCGTAAGCTAACACAATTTTCAGCAGAGAGAAAGAGAGAGAGAGAGATAGATATATGATGTGTATATACAATGCGTGGCATCAACAACAGCTGGCTAGTGAAGCCCAAGCCCGCCTGCTCGGTGGCCAATGGAGCGTGAAGAGTGCGCGTGGCTGCGCCATGGCTGTTGTTGACCCACCGGTGTGACCCACTGGGACATGTTCGCTTACCTGGATGGTGAATATGGCGAATAGTGTGGTGCATGCGCTGAATGCGAATTACGCAACGGGAATCCAGGCATGACCAGCGGCTGTGAGCCGCTTATCTGGCAATGCGGTCCGGCGACTCCGCTGCCCGGCGGTCCGACCGATACCTGCGGCCCGCCCACCTGACCGCCAACGCCCACCGGCATTGTGCCGGCGCCCATTGGCATGCCGACGCCGACGCCGACGCCGCCGCGATCGATGCCGCCATGGCCGATTGTGTTGCTACCAGTTGACATACTTTGTGGCATCTGTTGTGGGTGGCCGCCCAATCTGTAAAGCAAACAGAAGCAGAAGAAGTGAGAAAAAGCGAGTAAGACACACGCTCAAATCAGCGCGAGTGAGTGAGTGAGTGAGTGAGCGAGTGAGCGAGACAGCTGCAGGGAAGCTGAGTTCAGGTGGGCAGCGCTGCTTGTAATGCGGAAATTAAAACATGTTCCAAGTTTTTCGCTTCACAATGCAATATTTAAATCTCGGCCATACATATTGTGCCAATATAATAAAAATATATATAAATATACATAAATACATGTATGTGTGGGCGTGGCTGTGCGCACAAAGCGCATTGCTATTGTTTTTTCGGGCTTGTTGCTGTTATTGTTATTATTATTTTTAACGGTTAAGTGATGCGGAAATTTTAAATTAAAAAACATAAATCAATGCAAATATGTGTGTGTGTGTGTGTGTGTGTGAGCGTGTCCTTTGTTTCATTATCATTGCAGCTGCAGCGCAGCGCTGGCCCTGTTGTCGTTGTTGTCATAGTAGTTGTTGCTGTTTGCATTTTATTATCGCTCAACATTAAGCGGAAATGCAGCTACGGGCAGCGACACTGACGCTGGCGTCGACGCCGACTGCAACTGCCCCCGCCCCAACCACAATCAGCCAACTCCCGTGCATATGCAACACAGTTTTTGCAACTGCCGCCCGCAAGTATGCAACGTTTTTTTTTGCCTGCGTGGCGTTTCACAAGACAAAGGATTCGAATTACCGCACACACACACACACAGAGAGAGAGAGAGAGAGAGAGAGAGAGAGAGAGCGATACACACACACACACACAAGTCGAGTACCTATATGCTATATAGTGTCTATATAGTTGGTTACATGTTTGCGCTGCACAGTGAGGGAGTAAGAGAGAGAGAGAGAGAGAGAGTTATGTAGTGTGAGAGAGAGAGAGACACTGAGCAAACACTTGAAAAGTACGCACACACAAAAATATGCAATTAACTTCGATTTTTTTCCAACATTGTTCAGATTTCAAGAGCTTTAACAAGCATACAGGCATTCAGCCACACGGTACACACACACACACACACATGCATGCAACGACACATAAAGCAAACAGAGCTCGATCGAATTTCAGTTATTTTTCTAATTATATTCACTTTCGAATGGCAATCAAAACAAAGTAAATTATCAAGTAAAGCAATTTTTAATTAACATTAAATAAAGTTTAACAATCATCATTAAAGTAAATTTTAAAAAATATTTACAAATTGCATATGATTAAAAATTTCATAAAATCTCTGCTAAATGAATGGATTCGATTATAAAAAAATTAATAAATATATAAAATAAATATATAATATAATCAATTGTATATATATATAGATTATGTATATTTAATTTATGTATTTATTTATTTTTTTTTTATATATATTTCGTAACGTTTTTTGAATCCATTCGAGGAATTGAATCCATTCATTTAGCAGAGATTTTATGAAATTTTGATTATAAAAATAAATATATATAATCAATTGTATGTATGTATATAGATTATGTATATTTATTTTATGTATTTATTTATTTTTTTATATGTCTAAATGAGATAAATTATAAGACATATAAAATAAAAATAATAATAATAATTTGATAAACGGCTTGATCACTCTCATCTCTCTCTCTCTCTCTCTCTCTCTCTCTCTCTCTCTCTCTTTCTTTCCTAAATATTGCTAGCTCTTTTAACTTCACACTATATTCTAAATAAATAATATATATTTATTTCTTTAATATCTTTGAATATTCACAAATCAAACAGAGAGCCAAAAGCTGTTTGTAATTCAGAAAAATGCAGCTTTGCGACTATCAATCGATATTTGCAGCTACAATTCGATTAATTCGATTAATGCAAACTTATGCACAATTTGGAAATTTTCGTTTACAATTAGATGCAATTGTGAAAGTCGTAAATCTGTTTAGCTCCAAATGCGAAACTATAAACCAAATTCATTACAGCATTCAGAATGAAATGAGTTTTACAAAGTTTTTTCCTCCAACTTTATATCGAAACTTTGACTCTCTCTCTCTCTCAGTCTCTCTCTCTCTCTCTCTCTCTCTCTCTCTATTTATTGTCGAGAATGACACGATGTTTGTGTAGCGCGCATCGCATCGGCAGTTCATTGAATGGATTTATATGGTTGTTTCGCTTACACAGATAATTTAACTTTGCCATTGCCTTTGTGCCAGCCATATTTATAAGCTGACATTCCCAATTCCGTTTCGGGTTCCCCAAACAGTTAGCCCTTCCCTCTCTCTCTCTCTCTCTCTCTCTCTCTCTCTCTTTTCTGTGCAAATTAGTCAGCAAAGTGCAATTTTTATAGAATTTGTGACGCCAGCTCAGACAGTTTTATGGATGCAATCCTTATATTTATTTCATTTTCAACTTTAATGGTTCTGCTTTCACTCCCCCTCTCCCTCTCTCTCTCGCTCTGGCTCTGTGTCTGCTTTCTGCTGGCTGTGACTCGTGGACGGCGAGTGCATTTGACATATCACATTTTGGCCCGCTCGCTCGCTCGCTCGCTCGACTCGACTCTTGTCAAATTTTTGTGTGCTTTGGACGCCATTTTGGCTTTGTTATTTATGGCCATGTCAAGCGGTCGCCAGCTGGTCAAGAGCAGCCCCCCTTGAGCCAACGCTCATGGCCCTGAGCGTGGCCTGCATTTGACATGCGGTTGCATGCGGGCCAAAAAAAAAAAAACAAAATAAACTTTTTCTATTTCGATTTTTTCTCTTCTTTTTTTTACAATTGTTAAGCCCGGCAAAAATGTCAATTGGGGCTACCGAAAAACTCGAGCATAATATAGCACAATGCCCCACTCAGGGCGCCCGCAATGCTGGTGCGCTTCAGCAACAAATCGAAATTTGCAAATCAAGCCAAAAATCTAGCTGCAAATTTACGAGAAGCTTGCCAAGCGACTAAGTCGGGCAGATCAGCGCAATTTATATATGTATATGCAGAGAGGCAAAGAGAAAGAGAGAGAGGGAGGGTAAGAGGGAGAGAGAGGGATGCATAGAGACAATCTAAATGAGTGCGAAAGCCGCTTACAACAAAATCAACGACAACAGCAGGCAAGCTCTGCTCTCTCTCTCTCTCTCCCTCTCTCTCTATGTGTGTGTGTGTGTGTGGAAGATAAATGTGCCTGTGTGTGTGTGTTGGTAGGGCAGCTTAGCAAACGCTAAGCCAGCCAGCGCCGAGCGCAAGCTGTGCCTGTGATTTATTAGCAACAATAATAGAATTAAACAATTTAAATTAAGTTGTAGCCGAAAACCATAAACAGTCTGCCAAAGCAGCCACCGCACAGTGGTGCAAACGCACGCAACGGGGCGTGCCACAACAACAGCAACAGCAACAACAACAACAAAACGATAGTAAAATGGAGCAAAAAACATATAGAAAACATAAATAAAACACATTTTTCTTTTATGCTTTGCAGCGTATGAATAAAATAGATAAAGTTTGCTTTTTTTTTTTGCGCTCTGGCTTTACAGAGTTTGAAATTTTTTTTAGCGAGGGATTTGACCTTAACGAACTAATCCCATCGCTGAGCTCTGTTTGTGCAATTTTAGGAATTTTTATTAACAACAACAATTACAACTAAAAATTTCAATGGCAGCGACGCATAAAGCTGAAGTATTTGGATTGAGGCAGAGAGAGAGAGAGAGAGAGAGAGAGAGAGAGAGAGAGAGAGAGAGAG